GACCTAGACCTGTTGACACTCGTCTGGACCACCTAGAGTCAGTGACTGAGGGGGTCAAGGACATCGCCAATATGGTGGACATGGTCTTTCAGTGTCTTGATAGAATGGAGGACCATCTGACGGCAGTCAAGCAATGATGCTCTATGTCGCAACATTTGGAAGAAGGAAAGCCGGATGTTAGAGGGAAGAAGTCCATGGCAAATGATGTCTCAGGTGCAAGAAAGCAAGGACAAGTGCGACCGCATGGGAACCACCTGGAATCGTCAACAAGGTTGGGACCAACTGGCTACTCCGATTCAGGCAGGAGTGGATGAAGATGAGAAATGCAAATTTCTGTAACAGAGGGATTATCTGAGGAGGAACTTCCTCTATTATCTGTAAAAGAATTGAAGACCGCTGGTAGTGTTTTTGGCCTAGAATCGAAGAGATTCTAAGGGGCAGATTTCACAAGGGCTTCAGGAAAATTTCAGGAAATATGGATTTAGTTATGGTGATCCGTATGGTCGCCCTTCATCCTATTATGAAACATTTAACATTCTGAATGAAATTTTAGATGATGATGCCAGAACATGGCATGCTAATAGGAGAATATTTCCACAGCATGAGTTTATGATGCAGAAAAGAACTCGTTACAAAATTGAATCCATCAAAAGACAAAGCTCATAAAAGATTAAGCCTGAGATGGAGCTTTAGAGAGCTGAATCTGAAATAGTACGTGGTAAATTGGAAATTCATAATCTCTTTCAGCAACCTGAGTTCTCGATTTCTGAGGGAAAGCTGGATGATTATTTATTTGATTTTGAAGAAATCTGCAGCGAAAATGTTTTCTCTGCCAAATGCAAATCCATCGATATCTCAGCAGAGAATGAAATTATGCTGTGTCATGGCATTCGTGATCAAGGTCTTCTGCAGAAGTGTTTGAATCCTCATGTGTCAACTGATGACACTTCCCCGGATGAGGAAGGTGGATTGTGCCATGGCTGTGATTGTAAAGTAGCTGGCATGAACGTGATTAACGAGAAACAACGAACATACCTTTCAATCAAAGACGAATGGGAGAAAGTATCCCTGGTTTTTAGCCTTAAGATGGTCAGCATGTTAATACCCGGTTGCCACCAGATAATTATGAAAATCTTTTTATGATTATTCTCCAAATGACCCTGGAGCTGAAAACACTGAAGTGGATGAAGAGGTGAAGAAAGGATCAAGTTCTGATGAATCAGATTTCACATTCGATACTGATGATTTAAATGTTCTGAGTAATAAGGTCTCTATTGCTAATGAAGCATCAATATCCCGAATATCCCAGTATTGAAGCATGGTGGAGGAAGTGTCACAGGTCCTTTGTCTGCTAATTCTTCACTTTACTCTTTTGAGTCAGAACTGGGCCAAGAAAATGCTATCCCACTGCCAAGTAAAATGCACCGGAAACATCTGGATTACAAGAAGTTATACAATGAAGCACACGGGAAAAAATTGCTAGATTCTAGTGATGATGAAGAATGGGCTGATATGAGTATACTAATGAAATTGACTGTAACTGAAAAACAGCATGTAGCTGATGATTATGCTAAGTGATTACCGACTGGTTATCTGGAGAATAAGAAACTTGTTGCATCTTCACTCGCTTGCTTGACAGAGTCAACATCAAACTTTAAATGCTATAATCCTTCAACGAAATTTGAGCAGTGCCCTCTTTTGAACATATGTTACTGCTCACTTTCAGAAGTAGAGTTATCTCAAGGAAACGACTTGGTTGTTCTTGTCTACAATTTACTTGGTTGGAATAGGGAGGGGATGTAAGTAGAATACCGGTTTTTGGCGCATCTGTGATTGTCAGGGATTCTAAAGGAAAGATTGTTGACTCTCAGCTTCCGTCAATATGGAACATATCATTAGAAATCCGAAAAATACATGCTAAAACAAACTTTTTGGGACATTTCCCCTGGGGTCCAACCAAGGTTTTGGCTCATCTTCCGGTATCTGTATCACCTCTAGGTTTTAGTACGTACTTTATTTCAAGTGCAGAAAAATCCATTTCAAGGCAGATTTCAGGGCATCTGGTCATGTCTATAACTTATGAAAACACATGAAAGTGCAAGTGTAATAGAAGTTGGCCAAGGGAACTTGAAGCTCGTTTTTTATGAAGGAAAAATGAGCCATTACTCGAACAATAGAAACTCGGTTAATACTACTATGCATCAGTCCTATATTTATTGTTCTGGAGAGGATGAGTGTGGTGCTTATTATCAGGCCTCAGGAGCATTTTTTTTTTTCCCAAATGGTGCATTTTCAATACACCCTTTGGGACAAATACTTTTGACTATAATCCGAGGGCCAATTTTAGAGGAAGTACATCAACAAATAAATCCATGGATATATCAGATCACCAGAATCTATAAGGAAGGGAGCTTGTAGAAACCGAACTTATTGTTGGCGCCCTATTCCTGTTGACGATGAAGTGGGGAAATAAATAGTCACTCAAATTACCAGTAATGTGAGAAATGACACAACGTTTTATATTGATCCTTATGGAAGCGATTTTATCATAGGGATTCGAGATTATAGATCAGATTGGAATCTAGAAGTGAATAAAACCGTTGTTGAAAATTATCATCCTATTAATCTAGGAATTTATATGTAGGAGGCTCGAGTACTTGAAATGGTCAAATAGAGTTGATGCTCCATCAACGATTGGTGCATGATGATGGCCGAAGAGTTGCAGAGGCACTGAACGAGACTATTTGTGTTGATGAAGACTGCATAAGCTTAAGGATCTCAGGGAAATTTTATCTCAGAATTGATTCTCTGGAGGATGGCGCCAAGTGGTGTAGGTCGCTGGGGCAGGAGGTGTACTCTCCTCTTCTTATAGCGTTCTCAGAGCAGAATATAGCTTATTGGAGCTGCAGCTGGTAGGTTTGTTCTCGCATTGATAGTGATCCTTTTCGCTACATATGTGATGAGGGAGAAGAATAAAAGTGGAAGTGCTCCCCATACAACAAAATCCAGCTCATTCACCTTCGATGATCGAAAGCCAATGATGTCTCAAATGCAGACATTGGACTCGGAGGGTATGGGAAGGCTGACCACAAAATTCTACTGACGCGGCAACTTACTGCTATTGAGAGAGTTCAGCATGGGTCAGTGCTAAGTGGGTTTGAGTTCAAAGCTGGGATAGAACTATCGTCAATGGTTCATTATAAGAACCTGGTTAAGCTGGTAGGTTTTCTAAATCATCTGAGATGCACATATGTTGGTCTACAAAAGTATTTTCAATGAATCCTTGAAAAGAAGCTTTTCAAGAAAGTCAGGTGTGATGCTGGATCGGCAGAGGAGCTTTCTAATTGCTGCTGGTTCAGCCAGAGGACTCATCTATCACCAAGGATCACAGCTTACTTTGTCAGTCCAGCCACATTATCTACTGAACCCTTGCCACTTGGCTTGAAAACATGAAGCATAGATACAACGGGAAGATTTTTCACATTTGACGCCACTTGGGGGTCAACGAGGCATATCAACGCCACTGTCCTGACTTCCACCATGAGGACAAGGTGGATCTTTCAGGGGGAGTATTGATACGGCTCCAATTTACTTTGGGTAGGAGGGGAAAAGAGTGAATGTCAGAAGTGTAGGGGGTTTTTAGCAGATGTCTAAGGGGACTCAGGACGGAAATAGGTTTCTCAACAAGGGGAAAGGGTATGGAGTTTTTTGTGTTTTAAGGTGGAGAGAGAAAGAGCCTTTGAAAACTTGCGGACAATTGGGGTTCCTGTGGGACCCTGATTTACCGTTCTCTATTTTATCTTTTCCTTTTGCTACTTTTCAATTGGCTGCTATTTGGGATCATATCAGGTTCCCTTTATGTTGAAGGTGGTCTCATGGACCAATTGCCTTTGGCACTTCTGTAGTGAATTTAGTTCAAACTATGACGAAGCACCTTCAAATTTTCAGCTATACTGGGGATTTGGTTGGTGAGCAAAGCTAGTTTATCAAGAAATTGATGAACTTTCTCATGGAAGAAGTGAGCTTCTATAAAGCTGAAAACAAAACGATTATTACCATTGGGTACTTACCTGCTTATAGTCAAGGGGGCTGACACTTGAATTGAAGCTGCAGTTTTTTTTGAACTTGAGTTCTGTCCTGGTGGCTTTGGAGCCAAACTGAAGGAAGAGCAAAAATAAATTTGGTCTGGGGCAAATCGAAAAAAGAGCTTCAACCTACGTTCAAGGGAGTGACTGACCCTTGGAAACTTGGTTCTGTTAGATGTCACTGCAAGGCAGGTGAAAGGAAGAGCGGGCTGAGCATAATAGACTGAAAAGTAAGTTCAGGCTGACTTCCACACTTATCAGTCATAAACCTTGTTTGTTGTTAGATGAAACTAAAGCCATCTCGAGGATCAATGTCGGCTCTAGTAAAGACCTATTTCCTACTTGACTTATTATGAGCATGATAATGGGTTATGTCGAAAAGGAAGGCGCTGCCTTATTCATCTTGAGCGGGTCCTGCGGTGGTTTAGTGGTTTTTGATCCCTCTGACCACGGTCTGTATCAATGTGGAGATAAGGTTTGTTAGTTTGAATCAAGCCCTTTTGTTTCATAGAAAAGAGGGACAGATCACACGAAAAAAAGCACTGGCGGGGCATTTTTAAAATACAGTATGAGCCCAGTTTGCTACATGTGAACCTTCATGATGGTTCCAAACTTATGTCACTATGTGCCTAAGGTGTTGCTGGATCCTTCTTAGTCACTGCCTTAAGTCGGTCTGCTTATGCTGTCATAGCCTCAGTTCACCATTTGAAAGATCCTATGTGTTTTATATTCTAAGGCATTATGTTTGAACGAAATAATTTTCGGGAACTTTATAGTTACACTCCACCTAATCTGGATCTTTAATGTTCAAGTCATGCCTTTCTTAATTTTATTTCATCTTTCTAATAGGACTAAAGTCTTGACCAATTGTCTTGCCTTCACGTACAATAATTGATGAAAACGAGTTACACACAGATGGGTGATGTTGATCTCGAGCATATGATAGTCGCATCTACGTCGTCATTTGTGGTTAAACTATTTTTATTTATACTTTATAAATGAAACTCTCTCGTTTTTCCATCTTCCCTTGGTTCTGATAGATTCCTTTTTAGTTTCTTATGTCAAGCTAAAATATTTATGCATATATATATTATTTTTTATTTTTTTCTCCAGTCTTTATGGAGTTGGAAATCTCGGGCATCATCTTGGCTATGGATTCAATTCAACACCATGGCCTGTATTCCCCGTCAATATGAAAAGGAAGTCAGAGTGGAGCATTCCTCCTGGAAACATTTGGACTTCTGCAGGGGCATCAACTAGATTTCCTTCAAGTGTTTCTTCCATATTGAAAATCGGAGCGTATTCTCGTGGAATTGCTGATCAGAATCCTTGTCAGAATGCATTGTATCCACAATAAGTTCTACATCAATTTTTTTGCATTAGTTTTTGACATTAATTTGAGGAATATGTTATCTTTCCTTTTAAAACTCATTCTCTTTCAATAATTTCCAGTTTTCAGCTTGATTGTGATTTGCTATTGCTTAACAATATCAAAACATGGTGACTACCCTTGGGTCGGGAGATCTTGGTGGATCTGTTTATTTTCTGAATTTCAACGAAGCATTGGACTTCAGTTCAAATGTTCTTGGTCACCATAGAATTTCAAAAATTTCCTCATATGACTTTACCATATGGACGAGTGCAAGCAATTCTAGTGGGACAAAAGCAGCACTTGGTAAGCTCCAGACTAACCTTTTCGTCTTGACTATTAATTCCTATGTATATCTGGATATTATGGTGGTTTTGTGTTTAAGTGTTGAAGATTTATTTTCTTCCTATTTCTTAGATAGTGTCATTTTAAAATCTGTTGCCATCCTGCTAAACTGGAACATCCTCGAACTTTCGTACAGAACATTACAAACACATGAAATAAATGTTAAAAAGATCCTTTATTGATACTAGGTGTAGTAGTTTTCTATAATCCATGATTTATTCGTTTATTCCACTAGCTAATTTCTAGTTTGGGACTAGTTGATCAGGGTCTGTATACCCCCTGGGCGGTTTCTTAAGTGATTTCTTAGCACTAATGGCGCGAAATCTTGTCTGACTTGTTGGTAAATCAGCAAATCCAAATCTGTTAAAATCTTGAACTATGGTTTTAGAAGATGTTAGAATTTTTATGAGATTATGCTGAATTTAACTTATATGAATTAATGTTTTGTCAAAACATGGTTTTTCAGCAGTTGGTCTGTTTCATGTTTTGGGCAATCACTGGCCATCTTTCGATCAACCACTCTAGATCAATGTTAGATCTGTATTTGTGCAAATAGATCACTTTTTCTGGAACAATTTCCATTTTTAAGAGTAAACTTGGTGTTGAAGTTCTCACCTCTCAGATATTTTTTCCACTTGCACGAGTCTGCATCTACCTACGTCTAAGTTATGATAAGGTGTATTTCTACTTTACATTCTGTATTTTTTTTTTGAGTGTACCCGTTTTTATCTCTCACCATAATATGACATATTATGGAATGTCATATTTGATACGACGTACAATGTTTTAGTTGCAATCATTTTTTCCAATGTGATGAACTTGTGATCTTATGAGGATTGGGATGCAGAATAAGATTAAATGGAGTTAATGCAATTGTTGATAATTTCAAGTTGCACTCAACCTTAGCATCTGAATTATGTTCCCATATTTTCGGATAGTATCCCAACGTTGTTAGATATAATGCCAACCAATTCAATCTCACTCCATAATAGTGCCTGAAAATAAAACCTGGATTCTGCAACAGACCATGAGTATGGATAATATGATCGCAAACATTCTATAGTGTTTTGTTTTGATCTTGGTTCAGCTCGAGTAACCTATTAAGATGCTCCTTCGCTTGTCCATTTTAAATTAGGAAAAATATGGAAGAACAAAACCAGAAGCATCAAGTCGGAAAGACGTCTTCCCACTTGTTAACATTCAGATTCTCCTTTGTGAGTGGAAGCTATTTTTTATGCGCAATCTTTCTATGCACATTACACTTGTTTGTTAATCAACATCTTTTAGCTTTACTAGACCAATCTTTAATGCATTTGTGAAGCCTTTTATCCTGTTTTTCAGAAGTTGCAGTCGAAAGTGATTAAATATTTCGTGTAGACTTCATGTGTTATTTCGCTTTTAATATTGATGAAAATTTTGTCATCAATTCGTTGATAGCTCTAAGTTGTTGTGCCTTTTTTCTAGGGACAAACCAAGGAGCAGCCCTGTTAAATTTAGAGACTGGAAGATTATCTTGGCTTTACCGCACTAAAAGTGATATTTTCTCACAAAGATTTGACCAATCGGTACGTATCATTCTTCTTTTTAGATTCATATGTGCAGCATTATTTATTATTCATATTTAAAACTTTTATCAACTAGTTTAAGGCTGGCCATTATGTATTTTGTCTTTGTATGCTTTTGGTCTGTCATCTTAAACTATCCTTGCATGCCTGATATTAGCCAAAAGAAATGTCTTCTTTGTCCCTAGATGTTGCTCTGCAGGTGAAGTTATGATATACATGTAGTATGTATTGGATTGGAGACTAGTGAGTAAATTTGTACATGAAATTTTGTGCACTTATTTTCAACTTTCTCCAATAATTAAGGGTACCTCTATAATTTTATTTCATCAAGGCCCTTTGGATTTTTTTGCTTCATTCATAATAACTGATTTTTTTCCAAAATTCAATTTATAAGCTGGTCAAAATTCATAAATTAGCTTGCTGATTCATCTTGGGTACAAATCTTTTCTGGTTATTCTCATCGTGTGTTTGCTGGTGATTTTTGGCATATGCTTTTGGGCGAGTCTAATTTAGGAGATGACTTGATTACCATGCTTGATTAACTTTCTACCACTAGGATCCGGTTTTGAAATCGTAATCTTCTTCATGAATTCAATTTATAAGCTGGTCAAAATTCATTGTGCTTGTATTTTCATTTAGTATTGTTATGTTTCATATATCGGCTATATGTTTTTTTCCAATGTGTGGCAGGGAAATGTGGTCTTATGTGGGCTTAGAAATGGGTCAATTCTAGTGGTCGACGTTCGGCAGAAGCCATCAGGATCTCGCCGGCATTTCACTTCATCTACTAGAGATCCAGTAGAATCTACTGCAGAAGGGGCAAACATGCATCAAAGAAAGCACCACAGGAATTGGATCACACGAAGACATCAGGTAGAAGTTCATTATATCATTTGTTTGTCCCTTGTTCCTTGCACCTAGGAGCACATCCATAAGATTTGCATCCTTGCTAATCTTTTAGTTTCTGATTGCAATTCCTTCTATTCTTTTGGACTGGTTTCTTGTATCTTCAAATATCCGCAGTGAGTCCTTTGGGTGAACCATGTTCTATGCCATGTATTAGGTTTAATAATGTTATGTTCGGCACCTTTCCTATCTTTCTTTGCAGCCACATTCAAAACCTCATTTTCCTATCTAAATTTTTTCTTATTTCCTTTTTATGGGTTTGTTAAACGTCCATACTAGTCACAGGATACCATGAGGATTCTTGGTGCTAGTTTCATGCCATTGATGTGTAAACTGCCCATGTGATGTGGCAGACTGTCTTGTTGGACTAATGCAGATGCGATATTTTGTGTTCTAGCTAAAGGGAGATCCATCATTCCACTGTGCTTCGATGCCCTCAGCTGTTTGCAGGTAGGTACAGCACCCTTGTTCTTCCATGAACGATCTGCGGGGCACATTTCTTACCAAATAGCATGCGTTGTAATTTATTTGGCTCGTATGTGGCCTAAATCCTTACCATTCTCTATATATCACAGCCTGGTACCTCTACATTCCGATGAGCAGTATTTCTTCGGAAGCTCCATGGATGGATCAGTGAGTTTTCAGCTCCATCTGTTTTGCTAAATTTCTCTCATCTTGGTTGATAAAAGTAAGCATCTGCATGCTCCTTTGGGATTTCTGAGTGGCTTCTGGTAGGACCCTGGTCCTGGACAGGAGCGGACAACAGACATATGGAAATAGAAAGGGGATGGTTGAAGATTAACAGTAGGCAATGTAGCCGGGCCCCAAAGAACCCTAGAGTTGGTGGAGAGGTCCCCTGCTCTCCCTCTGCCGCAGCTGCCCTAGAATACTCCTCGATACCCCCTTCCCCCCCAACGACCGGAACCCTAATACCTCTTTTCCTAACAAGCCATCACTTGAAGGGATTGTTGGGTTCCTTCGAGAGTTGGTTCTAAGGCCCCTTGAGCCTCTCTTCTAGGCTGATAGTAGTTAGGCTCACTGGGGGGCTAACAGCTTCCAAACTTAATGTTCTTTTCATCATTGTTAAACTAGTCATATAGAACTTTTCATCAGGCCGTGTTTGGGACAACCATTCGCTAAGAGTCTCTTTACCTGCAACAGATCTGTTTCCTATAACTTCGTATCTGAAAGATCTATTTCCTTTAACTTAACATCCGATTTTTTTTTCTAAGAATCCTAACTCCTTGTTCTCTTTGGGCCTGCCACATGTCTTGGACCTTGAGCAGTTACGTCAGCGTTGACATTTATTCAGTTCAGCAATTGTTTTGTTATACAAATGTCAAACATTTTTTTACGAGAGCAGTATACATAGAATACTCGTGCCTTGGGTTCCTGCTAATGTTGCTGATAAGACTCATGAAATGTATTAAGAATTGATCATTGCTATTGTAAAATCAAATAACTATCATTTTTGTCCAATCTAAATAAGCAAGATATCTATTGATTCGTCATTCTCAAGACCTGTTCTGCGAATTAAATTTTTTTACAACCTTAGAGACTCATGTAATATCTGGAATAGTGGGCCTTTGAATGGATGCTTCACAATGATAGAATATTATTGCACGATCCAATTAAGACCATTTAGGATAGAGTTACGTGTATTGGGGATAAAGCAAGAAATATTAGTCTCCTTCACAAGAGCATTCCATTCTTTCTTTCTTTCATTTTCCCTCCGCATATATTTATTTTTAACGTTCTTCTCTGATTTCTGTGTGCGGCAAGTAATATAATATTATCAGTATCTCAAAAGCTGTGAAAAGCTTCACAATAGCTCAAATAATAATGATAATGTCCCTTGAAGGATTTGTTTCAACAATGAAGCTAGGAATAGCTATAAAATAAAGTTCAAGTCTCCTATTTTCCATGATGGCATTATTTATTTCACAATTATTTGAACATTTTCCAATGCTTGTTGTCAAAATTATATCTGTTTGAAGAAAATAATCAACTACCAGTGCCTTTTAGGCATCCATTTATCATGAATGACATACATGTGAGATATTATCAAAATCAATGTGATGGCTTGTTTGGGTGTTCACACTTTTTAGTCTTATATCAATCGTAGAGCTTTGTATCAATTTAAAAATGTAACATGCTTCTTCTAGATGAAGAAATTAGGATCTGTGACATATTGGAGAGTAATTGTTGAAAGAAAGTTATGCCAAGGATAAGAGGCAACTACTTGCATTCAAGGGAATTTCGTAACCATCCCGTGAAGAATTTTCACATATGAAGTTTGAGGAATATATTTCAAACTTCTTCCTTCTACATGGCTACGTATTTCTTATAATTGTATGCTTCATGCGAGGATGACAAGACCTCAAAATACATCTGTGTCTGTCAAAGAGGATTGCTAATTAGGTAAAGACTAGGATTATATCGAATGCATGCGAGTAAATAGTCGTAACATATGGGAATATCAAAGAACACATTGGTAAAACATGCTTGCTCTTACTCTCCCTATCCTGTTACTCTCTCTAGTTTCAATCATGAGGTACCCATTACCAATCTCTGAGATGTTGAAGAATTTCTGATTCAAATCCTTGTATCAGCCAAATTCAAAATCAATCTTCTGCTGCTAAGCTGCTCCCCACATTATTTACTGCTCATCATTATATTGTGATTGTACCTCAACCATCTGGTTTAAGTTAGATAGCGGTATCCCCATTGTTGACTTTGGGTTTATCAAACAGCGAAGATGCATGAAGTGAAGGATAGTTTAAATGAGTTAAATCATTGATGAGTAGATAGCTAACTAAGCTTGGAAAATAATGGAAGCCATACGATTTTTTCATGTGACACTCTATTATGTTTCTGATGCCAAATGTTTCGCTATGCTATCACTTACAAACCAAAAGTGGCAGCAAATTAAAATATCTACAAGGCCTAATCAAGTTCGACACGAATATTCTCTAGTTCATTTAAGACAACAACAGATTGGATGAAAAAAAAAGGCACCCACCCATTAAAAGATACCATTAAAATTATTATATGAATCACCAATGTGTTCAAATGGTAGATAGATCGAGCCATTTTCCCGTTCCTAAGCTTTCTTGCTGTCAATAACCTCAGGGATCGTCCTTGTCTGCATGATAGCAGTTGCGCTTCTTTTTGCCATGAAAGGAGTGTTCTTGAATGCCATGATGTTTCTCTGCTCTTCAGTTCTTCTTCCTCCTTCAATCACAGTGTTGTGATTCTCTCTTCACTCATCCCGTTTCCTGTATGGATCCAGATTGAGCTATTTGACCAGCGTCTCCTGCATAGAGGACCCGTGCAGTCGTACGAAGGGCATGCCAACTCCCACTCTCATCTGGAGCTGGGAGTAGACCCCTCTGAGGCCTTTGTATTGTCTGGTAACAATTTTATCACTAAGATGCCACTGCTTTTCTGCCTGGCATGCCGGGTGAGGATATCATAATAGGGTCTAAACCACTGCTAAATATATAATATAGGCGGAGAAGACTGCTATCTGCGGATTTGGAGCATTAAGAGCGGCAAGATGCTCTTCGCAGAAAACGTCTCAGATTCCGTCCTGAAAACAGTTTGCTGGATGCCAGGTGGGGATCAGACCGACGGTTGGAACCCTAGCCCTTTTTATGATCAGACTTTCTTCACAGTCCCTCCTCTCACAGCTCGATCCATTGTGATCGCGCGTGCCCACGCAGGGTTCCAGAGGCCGTCTGCTCATGGGCTGCATGCCGACGCGGACTTCCATGGCTGCGACCGAAGAATGGGGGGGGCATGGCTGGGGTCCAGGGAGGGGCTCTTCTACCTGAACAGAGCCTGATGGGGAGCAAAGCTTTGACGGCAATGAGTTTAAAAATAGAGTTAATCTCCTTTGTGTGGGTGTTCATCTTCTTCTCCAGATTCTCTCCAGTGCTTTAGCATCTTGGCAATGGCGATGGATGGTCAGAGCCTAGAGTTGCAACAGGCTGTAAAAATAAAGGAGTATAGACCGTCAAAATCAGCAAGCGACGAAGGTCGCCGACGATATGGCTCCAAGAAGGCAGGAACACAAAAGAAATGGCAGCCGTTTTCCACACGTACACAGAGAGAGAGAGAGAGAGAGATTACAGATCTCTACTGCAAGCAAGAGTCGGACTGATATCTGGGCGGGGGCCATTCAAGAAATTTGTGACCCAGAAGCGAAGGAGGCAGGTAGGTCTGCGACGAACAGTTGGGATGATCGGGTGGGTAGACGTAGCCCTTCCCGTACCCAAGATCCTTCATCATCTTCGTCGGAGCGTTCCTGAGATGCAGAGGGACTCCCTCGTTCCCCCCCGCGGACTCCTTCACGAGCCTCTGCGCTGCCTGAATGGCGCGGTACACCGCCGTCGACTTGGGCGCAAGCGCCAAGTAGGCGACGCATTGCGCCAAGTTCACGTCGCATTCTGGCATGCCGATGAAGTGGCAGGCCTGGTAACAGGCGACGGCCTGCGCCACCGCCGCCGGGTCCGCCAGCCCCACGTCCTCGCCGGCGAACCGCACCAGCCTACGGGCGATGTACAGGGGCTGCTCTCCGCCTTCCAGCATCCTCGCCAGCCAGTAGATGGAGGCGTCGGCGTCGCCGCCTCGCATGGACTTATGCAGCGCGCTGATCAGGTTGTAGTGCTCCTCCCCCGCCCGGTCATAGGCCAGGTGCTTGCTCTGCATCGCTTCTGTCGCGTCGCTGAGGGTGATCTTGAGGCCTTCGTCGGCGGGGCGGGTGGAGTTCCGGTCCAGGGCCAAGGTGGCCGCCACCTCCAAGGCATTGAGGGCGACGCGGGCGTCGCCGTCACAATGAAGCGACAGGAACTCAACGGCGTCGTCTTCGGCTAGAATGGGTGGCGTCGACTTTCTGGTGGTGTCACCGTCGCCGCCGCCGCCGCCGCCGCCGCCGCCGACACCGACGCCGGCGGCGATGCCTCTCTCAGCGTCCTCTACGGCGCGGCGGAGGAGGGTTTCGACGTGGCGAGGCTCAAGCGGGCGCAAGGTGAGGACGCGGCAGCGGGAGAGAAGAGGGGTGGTGAGGTGGAAGGAGGGGTTCTCGGTGGTGGCCCCCACGAAGACGATGCTCCCGTCCTCGATGGCCGGGAGAAAAGCGTCCTGCTGCGCCTTACTGAAGCGATGCACCTCGTCCATGAATAGCACCGTCCTCGTCGGCGCCGAGCCCAAGGAGGCCGCGCGGACCTTGAGGCGTCTCCTGGCTTCCTCGGTGGCGTCCCTGACGTCCTTGACGCTGGCGGTCACGGCGGAGAGGGAGACGAAGCGGAAGGCGGAGGAGGGGGAGGCCGCGAGCGCGCGGGCGATGGAGGTCTTGCCGGCGCCGGGAGGCCCCCAGAGGAGGAGGGAGGGGAGTCGGCCGCGGTCGAGGGCGGAGCGGATGACGGAGCCCTGGCCGAGGAGGTGGTCCTGCCCGACGACCTCGTCGACGGTGCGCGGCCGCATACGTTCCGCCAGCGGCTCAAGGGCACCACCCGCCGTCCTTCTTCTCTGCCGCTTGCTTCCATCCAAAGGGGGCGGCGGTGGGGACGACGGTGGGGAGCGGTGGGCAGGTGCAGAGCGGGTTTTTTGGCCCTGCTGCCTCTGAGGGGCGGCGGAGGGGAAGAAGCGGTCGAGGCTGGGCTGAACGGGAGGGGACCGCTGATGGGGCGGAGGCGTGGGAGAGGCGGCGGCGGCGGCGGCGGGGGGGGGCATGGAGGAAACGGAGGGGGCAGCGACCTCCTGTTGGTGGGAGAGAATCCATTCGGTGGCTTCAACGGCGGAGGCCCCGCCGGTGGCGGCGAGAGCCTGGGCGGAGAGCTCCTCCGAGAAGCCCATACTGAGCAGATGCTCCATTCGTCTGCTCTCACAGCGCCTCTCTTCGCCTGCTAAAAGTATCGTCGCAGCCCAGAAATCCTTCTAGTCTGGGAAGACAGAGGGACATGTATACATTACCATATGTATACTTGGCGAGAGCGAGAGCGAGAGCGAGAGATGTTGACTAATATAAATGATTTAGAGTAACTTATATGAATATCTTGCACTAATCTAGGAAAGGAACCCACAGTTTCATCACCCAATGCTGACTTTAAAAATAAAGATAAGATTGAAAATAACCTCCCCAACTTTATGAGGGAAATCTTTTCTTTTTCTGTAATGTTTCAATTGTACTCTGATGCATGTCTCTGATCATGATTCTTCTATCTATGACGCCTAAATATGGTAATGCAACATTAACTGGACTATATTATTAGTGCAATAATAACATACTTGTGAATAATTTTTCTTTTTATCTTTTTATGATTACCTATAAACATCAAGAGACAAAACCTTCCATATTTGGTAAGATATTTATTGAAGAACCCTACAAACTACACCAAACCCTACGACCCAAGGCCTATGCCCTCATTGCCCAAAGAAGCATTGATCTCGAAAAGTTAAAAATGTCATCTTTTTTTTATGCTATAGCTACTTTGGGAATTAGATAGCGGTCACTGATAGGAGCACAAAGCATTGTGACGAGGGGAGTCTCCAACTAACCTGTGTTCATCCCAGTTCCTCAACACACGCGGGCTCTGAGAGTTGGTGGCCAAAGTTTCCACTAATAGCCCAGCCGCTTGTTATCCCACAAACACTCGCACGGCTCCCTTTGAGGGAGGAGGTTCCAAGAACCAGGGGCGAGGGGGAAGACGGAGGGAGGGTCTGAAGCTCGAACACCCGCCAAGTCGTTTGGAAGGTGTTTTTAGGGCGATTCCGAACCCGTAGTGACCAGCGACCGAGCAGTTTTGCGGGGTCCCTTGTGCATTGTTGAGACCTCACCCGTATGCCCAAAGGGTGGTCAGAGACGGACGTGAGACGGGTTCGAAAGGTTGAACGTCTGGTGGCGGCGACGTGAAGCAGGTAGCGGCGCCGCCCGGCAGTCTCCTCTCGCCTGCCGCCGCAGACCTGCCGGGTGAAAAATGGGGGATGCCGGCGACGTTTCCAAGGAATATGCTGCGGGTTTCGCTGCTGGTATCGCCACGGTCGTCACCGGCCACCCTTTCGACACTGTCAAGGTAGCCAGATGCTCCTCTGTTGTGCGTCTCATACCAATCGCAATTATCCTAGGGAAACAAGCTGTCGTTCTTACCTATAATGCTCTTCTATTAGTATGCTGCTAGTGGCCAACGTGTTTGGAGGGGACTCCCATCTCTTAATTCCGGCCGAAGTGTGATATATTTGTCATGGCTGATAGATTGGCGTAGCCTTTCTTCCTAGAGTCTCCTAGTTTTCTTCGTGATTGCCGTGTTTTCCGTAAATGAGGCTTCAATCCCATTCTTCGCTTCATTTATGGATAATGAAGCGTGCCATTTTTTCTACAAGTATGATATCTGTGGCTCTGTGAGCTGATTAGATGCTGATGAGCTTTCTTTCTTTTCTTCGGATAGTTCAGTGAGATGAAACCTCTCGTCAGGAGATAAAACCCAAGGGTATCTGTGTTTGTTGATTTGAAGGGTCCTACGAATGACCTTTTGTTTGATTGGTCCCTCCCATTAAGCCTCAATGGTTTATGAATTAACATTTTAAATGACGAACAGAAATTAAGTTAAAAACTTATAGGAAGTTATTCCGTGAGCAGCCTGGAGGGCCTGCAGTGAAACTGTTTAGAACTCTTTAGACTAAAGTGGGTGGAACTTTTGCGATTTAAAATTGCTTAAGACCTCAGCTGAATTGTTGTCTTCCTTAACTGATTCTCTTCGTTAAACTGTCCTCTGTCCTTCAATTGTCTCACTTTTGCCCTAGGCCAAGTCCATGTGTCTTGAAATACATCACGAACAGGAATAATATTTAAAGACAATATTCTGGCAACTTGGCTATTTTAGCATAAACATTACCTATTGATGATCCTCGTTCGGCTACCTCACTAGGTATTTTTTCTTTATTTTTGATTCTTTTTCATGTTGCAGAATGTTCTCATTTGCCATGATGTGTTCATTTACATGTTGCACCATTAAATGTTTTACAACTTACCTCCCTCATGCATTAGACTTTCTATTCCTGTTCCTTTAGTTTCATACCCTATCAAAGTTCATCATGGTGTCTCTCTACGTTTCTAATTATATTTTGCCTCATCTTTGTCAAAACACTTCGCAAGACCCCTTGTGTGATAAGGATGAATTTTTTCTTACTATTCAGTGTTTCATTTTGTAGAACTTAGTCGTTGCATTGATAGACAGCTAGGACACAGATCGATCTGTGTTAAGGCTGATATTGTGAGTTGGGCTTTGCCTTACATTCAGAGGGAACTTTTTTTAATTTTCTTGTGTTCAATATTTTCTTTTCTTGCTCATTCTCTTTGGTCTTAACTTGTAGGAATTAGTGTTTTCTTTGATTCCGAATAATCAGAAGATGCATTGAACGGCTGTTGGAATATCTCTCTTGGAGCCTCTTGTTCTTCTAGTTGAAGTTTTAAAATGAATCTCTTCCTCTGTTTGTGCCAAAATCTTCATCTCGTATCTATGATTGGTGAATCTTGCCTCATTATAGAGCACCTTCCTTTCCCGTGACTTAATCCCATCCTGTAAACTAGTGATTGTTTTCTATCTATTCTCATCCATACACCCCATTAAAAACTCCAGGGCCAAACATTGGTTCAAAAACTATTTTCCAGTGTACTTAGGTTTCAAATACTCAGATTTTTCGCTAATCGAACATACCTGCTTCAGATTCAAGTTTGGTTGCAGACGAGAAATGAAAGTAAAATAAGAGGATAGAAGGAATATGGACATAATAAGAAAGATGAAAAATCTGCTTCTTGAGTTCCTGCACAATTAAGCTATAATGGGAAACATGGCTCAGAAGCACTCTGGAACAAGTTCGCATCTTTTATTTGAAGCGTTAAAACAATTAGTACAGTTTCACACAAAAAATCGGTTTGTAATTATCTACTTGATTTGTGTAAGACATTCGGTTGTCATATCATCACCGAAAAATATCCTGCTCATTCACTTGTATCCTTGTTTTCTTTTATAATTATTTTCAATTAGAAGATTTTGTAATAAATTAAATTATTTTCTTCTTTCTTAATTCAGTGCCAGTGGAGAAAGACTCTTGAGTCACACCATCCTATGTTAACCTTGCAGAAGCGGACGTTTCTTTTATTACTTTCGCTATTTTGCCCTTGTTAGTATTCATTTTTGAGCGTTTTATTACATTATTTTGGGATCTTTCTTTTAAACCATAAGAAGTTCCATTCGACGATTTGGTATATTGACCGATTCGACTTAATTCAATAATTTATTATTTGGTCATGTTTGATTGAAATTTGTTAGTTCTATGGAATCTACATTTGATTAACCTTTAAAAAAAAGTGGTCTCTACCTTTCAATGAAACCTTTCACGTGTAGTTATAAAATGAAGAAAAGGATGAAGATGAATAATTATGGAGAGAGGATTGGTGAGGAAAAGGAAGATGGGATTATGAAGCTGCCTTAATCTTAGTGCTGCTGTTGTTGTTACCGTCATCACTTCACTACCTGATTCCTGTCTGTCACAGTGATAATCTTATTCTTTTCTTTTTCCGAGCATTCTTCATTCTGTCTCACTCTTCTTTCTATCTCCGACTTTTTTTTATTCAACTCCTCAGATCTGCTGCGACTGCAACAGGTTTGTTAATAGGGTTAAGGTGCATAAAGAGATAATAAAACTCCATACTGAATAATCAAATTAATTTAGGATTACTGACAGTGGGTGATATATTACTGAATTAGAAAGGTTTATTTTGTTCACTAACTTTGGAGACCTTTATGCTTTGTTGAAGGTTGTTTTATGTCTGAATTTAAAAGCTTTCTTTGTGAGTTCCTTGTCTCTCTTCCTAAACTTCTGTTCAGGTTAAAGGCAGCCCTTGAAATTGCTTAAATCGTCTGAAGAGCTAGAGATAGTTGGAATCTAACTTCACGTTCTGTTTCCAATGTTAAATCTTGGTGTCTATTCTAGTTTTTAGGGGTAGCAAGTTTCTTCTTTTGTATCCTTTATGTCAATATCAATATTTACGAAAAGTCCACAAGCAGGCTTAAAGATTTTCCACAATATCAATATTCAGTAATCTTGCCAAGTATGTCAGAGGAAAGCATGCCGACCATTCTTGTTTAAGATCTTGTTAGATGAGTAGAGGAAGTTCTGATGAACGTGTGTCATTTTTTCTGCGTGTCATTCTATTCACAGGTGGTATTTCTTTTATTTTATAACAGTGCACTTGTTTCACCTTAAAAAAGAGGTCAAAGATAAACTTTTTCACCACTTCTCAAATGTGAAATGCTCCAGAGCACTCTTTATAGTACTAGGCTGTAGAGGTTCTTTCTTTCATGCGGAAAGTCTGTGCAAAGGTTTCTTGGGTATATCTTTGCGCAGGAATTTGAAAAATGAGTGCAAACCTGAAACATCTTAAGTAGTTTTAGCACGTTCCTCGTAACTTTTGAAGGTTAAATTTTTTTGTGATGAAGTACTATTTAGGATAGAAATAGAGGCTGGTGTTTTAATCTTATAATTATTTTAACGAATTGCATTTCATGACACTGCAGTACAAGTACTTTGCTGGGAGTCTGATTTCTATATTCTGTCATGATGACATGTCTATCAGGTTAAGTTGCAAGCTCATAATACTAAGGGGAAGAAGGTGTATAATAATGCTTTCCAGTGCACAGTTCGGATATTGAGCAATGAAGGGGTAGGTTTTTGTGCTTTTATTTCATAGATATGTCAATACCATGTTTTTCGGGTTAGAATGCTCAATTTATTGTCTGTGCCTCATTCTTAGAAATTTCAAAAATAGTTCGTAGATAGTTAAGAATGGGATAATCTTTAAATTTGGAATCAGGTGGAATACCTGTTGTGACTGCTTGCATATTGTTTTCGTTCTTTTGGTGGAAGAGCTGATCCATTTTGATTTTTTTTTATTTCATTCCAATTTAACGTGCAAAAGTCAGACTGACGGTGTTCCCATCAATAAATATGTTAAATTTTAAGTTAATAATTTTTTGGTCTTTATTATAACTTCATTACTTTAGTTGGCAACTTGGTTCATCTTCCTGGAGTGGGCTTCAGTCATTCAGTCTCTCTCATTTTTTTGATGTAAATCATTGTCTCTGAATCCGTTCAGATGACCAGATTAGTTGAGCTCTTTTAAATCCAATGAAGGATTGTGACCTAGATAATGCTGGCCTGAAAATTAGCCTGTTGACTTGGAATGAGACTTTTCTTTAACTACGTCTAGGTCGCCATTTCAGGCCAGGATAGGAGAAATATATTCTGTATCATCGATTATAGTCCTCCCTATGTGGCTGTTATCTTTTATCTCAGCTAGAAAATACCTAGGGTGTTATATGCAGCATCTAATTTTTATACTCTAATACTTCCCCTCAAGTTAGAGCATAGCTATCATATGGTTAGCTTGTTCTATAGACAAGAAAGGAAGTCACAGCCAGAGCTGTGGATACTAAATCTGAAAGATAGTCTTCTGAGGTTGTAAAGGGAATTACAATCGTCTTAGACATAATGGGGACACAGATGAAGTTCCAATCACTTTCAGCAGGCTTGTTCCGTTTGTGAATCATAGGATTATGAGCTTGTTGATGGTGTCTTGGGAATCATCTTGCATGATCAAGATTCTCTGTAGACAACACGAGTAATCTCTGAGAGGATTGGGCAACTTTATCTCACATGCATTATGGACCATATCTCCATCTTTAAGCTCTGCACTTGGTTGAGCCACAACAGTTTCTTTATTACTTTTCTATGTCACTGGATTTCCACTAGCATAAATGGAATCTCCTGAACCAAATGTCCTGTCAAGGGATGGATGGCATTGTGTAGTTGGCATCAGAAAGAGCTTCAGGGTGTAGATGGCTTGTATGGTAATATAAGAGAACTTTACTTGGAGAGACCTTGATATAGTGGATGATCTTCACAACCAATGACGTTGTTTTGGTTCTGCGTGAACTTATTGACGTCTTGGCGTGGAGACCTTGTGTCCGAGAGGTCATTTAGACTTAGTTATGTTCAAGTTTCTAGCTCATGTTGAAGAGGCAGAGTTAAGAGTCCCTACTGAAACATTGTAAATCATTCTATAAGCTCCTTGGTCTAGTGAAAGGGAACAACGACAGCCGCCAATCGAAATGCTTGAGGGGGAGACTTGTAAGTGGAAGTGGAGGAACAATGACATCTGGTTGGTGTTCTGACCTCGTTGGACTAAGATGACTTGAGGAGTCCCGTGTGTATTATGTCAAGCTCCCCAGAAATGAGATCAGAGGAGTTAGGTATCAAAATCCGTAAACAAATATTTCTCCAGTTACCTGGTTGACATTTCCATCGATTATAACAATGCAATATCATCAAGTCCTGTGAAATTAAAGAGGCCTAGACTCACATAGATTCTTTTCGTTGACCTTAATACTTTGACAGAGTGGCCTATATCATACTATCAACTTAATGGCTAGTTTCTTTGTATAAATTCTTGCAGAATATCACCTCATGTTAGGAAAATTATTTCTTGTAAATGAGAGTCCAGCTGCATAGACTCTCATTTACGTTAGGAAAGTTATTTCTTGTCTAACAGTCATTGTTCCATGTTAACTGCATGAAGGTGAAGTTAGCTCGATCGCCATCAATACATCTAGATACTGGGAGAGTAAATTTTTCCAAGTCTAGCCATGTGAATGGGACTATTAGGGACACTATCAATGACAGGTTGATCTCAGGTTATTGAAGTGACGAAATACGGGTGTTGCAATTAAAATGGATCTTGAAATTATTGGTAAGAACATGTAATGAGAACAGAGAGTCAATAAAAATGTTGTCACCTTGAAACTTTTATGTTAGAAGCTTTTAAGGCCAATGACTCTAGAAGCTTGATGTAGTGCGATCCGTTCATCTTGATAAACAGTCATTGTTAATTGTTTGCATAAAGCAGTTTCCAAATCATACTTAAATCAAGCATCCTTTTAGTTTGTTATGATCGAGATATCATCTGGCAACTATTAATTTGACTTTTCAAAAGTACTAGTTTATGTTATTAATAAATTTTTAAGTTTCATATCACACGAATGTAGTTGAGAATTAGGAGACTTTGACCACATAGTCTTCTCTCAATGGCCAAATGAGGACTTCACGGGGACAGAATAGTAGTCCTTTATCAATGTTTCTCTATCAAACAATTCAACATGCAAAACTCATTGCTTGAATTTTTGAATAAAGCAAATATTTTATTTGCTTTTTGGCTACGAACTTTTACTATATGCAAAAGAAACTCTACAATTCAAATAGGAAGTGAACAAATATCGATTTTTTTGGTCATGTTAGTATCATATTTGTCCCATGCAGAATCATGGATTGCAGTGTTCTTTTAATCTTTATCTATCTGCATTGTATACGGCTCTTGTGATGGTTTCAACAGGTTAAAGGACTATACAGAGGTGCATCATCTTCATTTATTGGACTGGCGTTTGAGAGCTCTCTTATTTTTGGGATATATTCGCAAATGACTCACGCATTACAGGTTTTCAAAACTTTGTTGTGCCCTTTCACGACTGTCATACTGTGAATTTCATTAATTTTTGGTCTGCAATTCTCTTTCCTTTGACCAATGTTTTTCTTATTTTTTATGTTTAAATACTTTTATAGGGAAAAACGGAGAGAAATCTCCCACAGCTTGAGATAATTGTTCCTTCGGCGGGATTTGGAGGAGCAATAATCAGCTTTATATTATGTCCTTCAGAGCTAATAAAAGTATGTGTTTCTCTCCAACTACCTCGGTGTAATTTCCCTCACGAGCGCTGACATTTAACTCTAAGATAAATTATTCAGTGTAGAATGCAAGTTCAGGGGTGTGGCTCTGCGATTTCTAAATATACACATTACAGTGGACCTCTTGCTTGTGCTTTGCAAACAATAAAGAATGAAGGAGTAAACACTGCACCCATCTCTTTTGAGACGCGCTTGCATAATTTTTTTTCCTGTGGATATTATTCACCTGATTGATTTAGTCCTCAGATCCAAGGCATATACCGCGGTGGCGTTGCAACTCTGCTGAGGGAGTCCATTGGAAATGCCGTCTTCTTTAGTACATATGAGTTCAGTCGTTACTACATGCGCCCCCATTTCAACCCCGATTCATCTGGGCTTACCAACCGACAGAAGCTGCTCATGGATGTTGGATCCGGCATTTTCAGTGGCGGGCTGGCTGGAATGGCGGTATGTCTCAGTAAGTTAGCTAAGCCTCGTGGTAGACGCTTGAAGATTTCCGTCTCCTCATAAAAGCGTTGGAAATCCTGTTTGGCAGTTCTGGTCTGCTGTTCTTCCTCTGGACGTCGCGAAGACCGTGATTCAGACTGCCCCGGATAGAAACGCCAGCAGAAACCCTCTCCGGACTATCCACACGGTACGTGGATGCTCTAGTAATGTCCACCGGGTCTCCATCAAACTGCGTAAGAGCTGAGCTTTTTTCTGCCGGGTTGATCTTTGCTAGATTTACACAAGGGTTGGACTCGGAGGTTGCTATGCCGGCCTTGGGCCGACGTTGTTGAGAGCATTCCCTGCAAACGCTGCTGCCATTGTTACGTGGGAGCTCACAGCAAAGGCCCTTGGTCTCAAACGCGCGCAGTTTGCCGAGGTCTGTGTGGATACGGTCCTATTCTCCTGATGCTTGATTTCCCTTTCTGCTATCTCGTCTACTGGTCTGACTTCCATTCCCTTTCTGTCTCTTCTTTATTACAGTAGATGATTGCAGTGGTTGAGAGGCTGCTAGAATTTCTCGCCCGGTGCCTGTGAAGGAACCACGCCGGTGGAAGATACTCGTGATCTTCTGCTATGATTACTAGACGCCCAACGGCGCCGTTCTCGGTCTCGGTTGCAAGTTGCGCGACTCTCATTGGATGGATAAAATTGAATGGCTGCGAAATTCTTGACGGCTGTGTGTGCGCTCATATAGCGGGTCCCCCAGCGGCTGATGTGTCCACTGCTTCGCAGCTAAGCAATGTCGATTCGATGAAGGAACACTTGTAAAACGCGCGATCTGATAAGAACCACCGCCCCCGCCCTCTTTCGTAAGATCCTATGAACGCGGGCTGGAGGGGCTCACGAGGACGCCGGTCGGCAAGCAAACATGAGCTCCGATCGAGGGGACGGTGCACCAGCCAGATCTGGGCACCGGCGGGATGATTCCACGCCTGCTGCTGTGGCGGCGGAGGCCGGGCTGACGGACGAGGAGGTGGCCGAGCGGCATCGGGCGCGGATGACGGAGCACGGGCGGCAGTACGAGGACGAGGCGGAGAGGGAGCGGCGGCTGGCGATCTTCAAGGATAACCTGCTGTACATCGAGGCCCACAACCGCGGCGGGCACTCCTACACCGTCGGCCTCAACCAGTTCGCAGGTCTCACTAACGAGGAGTTTCGGTCCGGCTACTGCGGTGGAATCCGGATGCCTGAAGGAGAAGAAGAGCAAGAGGCAGAAGGAGACGCCCCACCGCCGCCGGCACCACCACCACCTCATCAGGCGGTTGTGCCTCCACCATCTCCTCAGGCGGTTGCGCCGTCACCACCTCATCAAGCGGTTGCGCCCCCGGCACGACCGGATATGTGAGGCGAACTGCGCGAGTTACTCGCTCGTTCGGCAGAATCGGTTATTTGGACCTGCTCGTATCACAGATTGTGTTCTGGTGTGAACTCTCTCTCTCTCTCTCTCTCGCTCAGATGATTCATGGGTTCCTCGGCTGTCGTAGGAAATCCGTCATTCTCCTTCGGTGAACGATCTGAGTTTCCTTGTTGGCCTCGCATAGGCCAAGACGGTCGCTAATTCTTCTGACATCTGATCGGAGCAGGAGCCTTCAACTCCACGGCCGGGAAGACGAACGTGATTCGGGAAAATAGGCGAGGATTGAAGAACGTGATTTGGGATCTCAAGAAAGGAGAGACGATAGGTTGGGAGAATTAAGCAAAAGAAAGATGAATGCGAAGCTCCTGCCGGTGGCATTGGTAGACAGCTATCCTTCTAGTTATCCTTTCCCTTGTTCTCCCTCCTTAGCTCCTGTGTTCATTAGTTTGCAGAATTTACATCTACTACGGTCGGTTCTGTCTCTACACCTTTCCTTCCCCTCTCCCCCATCAGCTCCGGGCACTCATCAGCCTCACGTCGAATCCAACCTACATCGTCCTCAATGTGTTTGGGCTCACTCTGGTGGCAAGCTCCAGGCAGAGAAATTCATCCGGAGATCTGGAATCAACTACACCATTGCAAGACCCGGGGGCCTGAGAGTCTACCCTCCAAGCGGAAGCCTGGTCATGAAGCCGGAGGCAGCAACTCACCCACCCACTCCTCCCCACAATTCCACTACGCTCTTCAGTTCTGGACTGTCTGATCCTGTTCTTGCCACCCACCTATTCAGGATACTCTGTTTGGAGGCTCGATACCGAGAGAGCAGGCGGCAGAAAGTTGCAGCGGGAACTCTCGTCTGCCCCGAGTCCTCCTTCAAGGTCGTCGAGATCGTCGCTCGAGGAGAAGCACCCGGGGCGTCCTCTTGCGGAGCTCCTCAGCTCCATCAAGCAATGCTGAATCCACAGGGCCGGCCGCCGTCTTCGATGATGAGCCTTCTCCGACTCCTTGCGCAGGCTTCTCTCCCTCTAACCCAATCAAGAATGCCGGTGTGATACAGTTCGCTGTGATATAGTTGAATCTCCTTCGAGCAATAAAGATGTGACTTTTATTATGCATCTGTGGTCGCGAGACATCGAGACTGAGTGAGCCACCTTCTGTAATGCACGGAGAGGGGAAGAGAGTTCATTATGGCATTAAAGAGAGGGTTTTTATTACCAACCCGACCGGATTCGGACTCCCCGTTTGAATTCGGAGCCTAAGCGGGAAGCCAAGTTGTCTGCGCCAAAACTCCAACGGTCACCCTATATAACAGGGGGCCCTCCATCCCCGTCTGCTCCCCACTCAACATCGTCTGTCTCCGAGAAAGGGTGGGAAGGAAGTGGCAGTTTGTCTGATGGGAGCGGCAGGGCTGAGAGAGAGAGAGAGAGATGGGCGAAGGCAGAGGACACAGCGCGGCGGTGGTGACGGAGCCGGAGGAGGTGAGGGAGGTGTTGGGGAGGAATATGGAGGCAGAGCTGACTGGGTCCCTAGAGGCGCTCGATTCGGCCACCTAAGCGGCGATGGACACGGAGTTCCCCGGGTTCCTCCACCAGACCCCGCGGTTCGCGTCCTCACGCGAGCGCTACCAAGACGTCAGGCGCAATGTGGACAGGCTGAAGCTCATCCAGCTCGGGTTCTCCTTCTTCGGCGACGGCGGGAGGCGCCGGTCCTGGCAGATAAGCTTCCGCGACTTTGACGTTGCCTCTCCGTCGGATGCGCGATCGGAAGCCTCGGTGGAGCTTCTGAAGAGAAGCGGCGTGGATTTGGGCAGGACCAGAAGAGAGGGGGTCGACTCGGAGGTCCTCTCCGAATTACTGCGGCGATGCGATTGGGTGGGGCGGTGTAAACCCCGGTGGGTGATGTTCCAGGGGCTTTACGATACCTGGTGAAGGTCCTCACCGGGGCGCCGTTGCCGCCGACGCTCTCCGGCTTCGCCTAGCTGGTGGGGACAACCCTCGGCAGGGTCATCGACGTTAAGTACCTCGCCCGGTTCCGCCGAGACTGTCGGCAGGGTTCCACCTCGGCCTGCTCCGGCTTGCGGAGACTGTCGGCGTGAAGCTGGAGGGCGGCGCGGCGCACTAAGCCGGTGTCGACGCCCTGCTGCGTCGGTCTTCGAGGTCCAAATGAGGCGATTATGCGGGTGCGAGGAAGAGCTGGAGGGCATCCTCCACTGCATCGAGGAGAGGATCCTACCAGTCCTCCGAGGAAACAGAGGAGCCGGAGGAGCGCCTCCTGATATGCCCTCTCCACCAACCGTCTAAGGAGTTGTAGGGGCACAACCGCAATGAGAACACTCAAGACGGCGATTGGATTTGTCATGCTTGCCACCACGTGTGCCTCCATCACGTCCTTGATCTCTAGAGCCACGGAGACGACTACCATCAAAAGGAGCAGTAGAAGGGGAGATGGAGAGGAAGCTGCTGAAGTAATAGGCACCTGAGAGAAATGGTGAAAACCCTTAGCAAGAGAAGGAACTTCTGGCTCCGACATAAACTGGCTCCATGGATTATCATATTTCGCCAGAAGACTCTGCAGAAAGTTGATGACATTAGAGCAATCTCATTGGCACTACATCGCTGTAAAATTGATAGTTAGTGACATCAATGAAACAAATTCCCGTTCCGTCTGAACAAATACTCTAAACTACTCCACCAATGAGCCATGCCCCTTCTGCATCCCATAGAACTTGGCTTGGGCATCATACTGACGGATAAGATTATTGACATAGATCAATTTAAGATGATCCCACACTTGCCAACATATGTCAAAGTCATGTACATAAAGAGCCCAATAGATGTTGATTATCATGGTTTACTTCTGAAGTGCCTCGAGCTCTGTCAATAGATCCTCTGTAATGGGAGGTAGTAGATCATGTCTTGCAAGATAAACATGAATAGCACAACTCCATCGCCAATAATTCTCGACACTTAGATAAGTAGAGAGTGACAATAATTACAACTCCTAATGAAGAAGGAGCCGGATGCACTGTAGGCACTATAATAACAACACCTCTGCCCATAGATATCCCGAAACTCCCCAAGTCATCGAAAATGTTAGGGAATAAGTGACGTACGGGGGAGTCCCTAGACACACGGACATGTTACCACTGGAAATGTACACTCGGATGCCCTAAAATACCCCTAGGGTGGCCCTAGGGCAGGGAAGAGCCCCAAAGAGCGTCGACCAGCCAGAGGGCGTTGGTGGGCGCCGTCGGGCAACTGGCCTGCCCTAGCAGGTGCGCTAGCATGCACACTTGTGTGCTGGTGCTAGCGACAACACACAATGGTGGCACCACTGTGCCCTAGGGCTGATGCTTGGCACCAACGACGACGCATGATGCACACGCGGCCACGTGCAGTGGTGGGCTGGCGCTTGGCGGCACTGAGGAGTAGCAGAGCGGCGTGGCAAGGTGGCCGCACCCAAGGTGCTGAGGAGACAGCTACCAGAGAGTTGTCGTGCAAATGGAGTGGCGGCCAATGAGATAGCACCGCCGATAGAAGACCCTAGGAGGGTTCTAATACCATGAGGAGAGAGAACATAATATTCAATTGTGAAAAGAGGGTGAAAGGCCTAATACATGTAAGGGTGAGGAGAGAGAGAAAGTGGGCTAGACCTATATATATATATCTCTAGAATACTTATGATTAATATTAAAATCAAACACTTTGTGTAATTTAAAACTTTATGAATGAAATCATAACGTGATAATAAAAGAGCCTTGTATTTCATTTTCTTTATTTTATATATTGATAAATGATAGTTCATAATGAATTAACATAGAGATCAAATTAAAAGTGATATCACATATATATCAATGTCTAAAACTCAAGACACATCCTGAAAGGAATTGATTAAGCCCATATTATAGACATGTCCAGTATAGGTATTAGGTGAAAGTGCTTTCATAAGAGGGTCAACAAACATAAGATCAGTTCTAATGTGCTCAATAGATACCAATTGATATCTAATTTTCTCATTCACAATTAAAAACTTGTCCTCCATGTGCTTGCATGCACATGAAATCTTGTTATTATTGGAGAACTTAACTGCAACTTTACAGTCATAATATAGTTGTATGGGTTTCTATATGGAGTTCGTGTAACTCTTAAATGTGTAGTGAAGTTCTTTATCTATATAGTTTGTGAAGATGTGTAGAAATATGCTACATACTCAGCCCATAGTAAATGCTATAACTATCTTCTACTTAGTACTAGAACATGAAATAGTTCCACTAATAAGTACAAAAATATAACTAGAAGTAGACTTTCTAATATCTAAACATCAAGCAAAGTCCAAGTTGGAGAATTCAATGACCTCTGATTGATCTGTTTACTTGTATGCCAGAATCAAATCTTTGGTTCCTTACAAATATTGTAGAACCTTCTTTTTAGCTTGTCAATACATGATTATGAGATCACTTTGACATCTTTCTAGATATTCAATTACAAATGTTAAATCTGGTTATGTATATGTTTGTGCATAGTTAAGAGAATCAATTATCATTATATGAAGTTTTTCCTTAATTAGAAGTATGTCTGCATCCGAATGATGACTTTGCAACTTCCTTGATTTGTCACCCTTAACTAAGGGGGCTTATTACGAGAACAATTTTTCATTGAAAACTTCTTTAACACATTTGATGTATAGGACCTTTGAGATAGCCTTATAATGCTCAAAGACTTATCATTGTGAACTTTTATTTCAATTACATAATGAGCTTGACCTATGTCTTTCATATCAAAGTTTTTAGATAAAAAATTCTTAGTCTCCTTTAACAAATTAAGGTTTGAACTAGCAAGTAAAATATCATCTATATAAAACATAAGTGGTATCTATCTACTCTCACTTTCCTTCAAGTATATACATTGATTAATAATATTTTCCTTAAGCCCAAATTTCATGATAACTTTATTAAATTTGAAGTACTAATTTATATATATATATATTTTCAACATGTAAATCTTATGTTCTTTACCTTCTACCTCAAATATTTGAGGTTGTAGCATGTATATTTCTTCATTTAATTTACCATTTATGAAAGCCATTTTCACATCTATTTGATGTAGTTATAAATCAAAATGAGCTATTGACGTCATGACTATCCTTAATGAGTCTTTAGATGAAACATAAGAAATTTTTTCATAATAGTCAATGCCCTCTCTTTGTGCGAAACCCTTTGCCAAAAGTTTGGCTTTATATCATTCAACTGAACCATCAAATTTAATTTGCTTGTATAAATCCATTTACAACCAATTGGTTTCTTAGCTGAAGGTAAGTCAATGATTTCCTAGACCTATTGAGGATCCATTGAGACAAGCTCATCATTCATTACTTGCAACCAATGATCAAAAATCATACAATTTTATAGTTTGTGAAAACATAATGAGGTCAGTTGTCTCTTGACCCATGTCTTCACCCAAGAATAATGCAAGTCGACTATCTAGTAAGCTAAATTTTCTGTCAAAAAAATGCTTTCACATTGTAAAAGGTAGAGAAGCCTTTCTTTCGCGAGCTAGTCCCTACCAATAGAAAAAAGAGTTGCAACTACTTCCATCTCCACCACCTCTATCTGCATCTCGGGATCAATTTCTCCATCATCAGCCTTGAAATCCATTCAAGAATTGGTTCAAGCAACCAACTTTTTAATTAGCCAAGTGGTACATTATATTTTTGTATTGATTCTGCCACCTACCCTCATCAACTCTTTAAGAACAATAATTGTTCTCAAGTTCCACTACGTATGATCGTCCAATCACCAACTATTCTTTCATGCTTTCTATTTTATCTGTCCATTAGTAATGATCATATAGTTGTTCTTGTTGTTGTTCTTGAGTGGACATACTTACCTTTTGAATGTTGTCCCTTATTGGGATAACATACAATAAGTAGACCTCTGTCTCTTGGGTAGGAAAAACATC